CCTCGGATCATCCTCATGGCCTCCTCTGGACAGGCTCCAGTAGGTCTATGTCCTTCTGATAGTGGCCCCAGAACTGGACGCAGTACTCCAGGTGGTATCTCACATGAGCAGAGCAGAGGGGCAGAATCCCCTCCCTCGACCTGCTGCCCACGCTGCTCTGGATGCAGTCCAAGACATGGTTATTGGCCTCTGGGCTGTGAGCACACATTGCTGGCTCATGTTGAGCTGGTCCACCAGCACCCCCAAGTCCTCCTCAGGGCTGCTCTCAATGCATTCTGCACCCAGCCTGTGTTTGTGCTTGGGGTTGTCCTGACCCAGGTGCAGAAGTCTGCACTTGGCCTTGTTGAACTTCACGATGGCATTAAGTATTTGATTCTTATTCAAATCATATCAACAAAGTTTCACTAGAAATAGCAGACTAACATTAATCCTGAGTTCCCTGCAACTTAATTGATTTCTTATTCTTGATAGTTTTGGTACCTATGCTCCATTCTATTCTTTCATCTGATTTTGTGATTTTTTTTTTCTGATTTCTTCCTTACTTGTAGCGTTTTCTTCTAAAACCAGCCATTAGCAATTTACTTACCTTGCAGTGTTTAGCTACTTCCTTCTGCTGTTGAAGCCAACTAAAGCTACAAGAACTTTGAGTTTTACCTACGTAACCTTCATTCACTGCTACCATGCATACAAAAGCAGTGTGGTGGGAATGACAGGCAGACTTCTATCTCACACAGCCCAGGGTGAAATTCACCTGGCCTCTCAGTCATTGGGGATTAGCAAAAGGTGCTGCATTATTGAGAGGAGAAATAGTTCTCCTAATGGTTCTCCCTAATACTCCCATTGTCTCTCTTTCCCCTGAAAATATGAGTCTTACTTGTCACCCTCACAGCTGAAAAGAACAAAGCCACTTTATAAAAAAGGGGAAACAAAAATGGGAAATAAAACAGCTTTGTAAAGTAGAGAATTTAAGAATATCTGCTTCCCTACTAATTGTAGGCAAAGGCACAAGAAGGAACGCAGAAATTTTGCTAATTTAGGTTCATACATATTTTAAAGAATAATTTTAATTAAGAACAGCAGCAAATTGGTTTTAGTACTGTAGCCAAGCAGCAATGGACATACATGCACTCACCAAAACACTTAGGAGGCCACCACCCTTAGCTCTTGGGCTGGACATCAGAGACAACAGCAGAGACTTTCTTCAAGACACCTTTTCTTTAAAGCCTCTTACTTCCCTTAAAAAAAATGACCCTGAGATTCACATTCTACTTTCTGATGAGACATTTTGG